GCTGTCGAAGCACTGATTCGCTCATTTTCTAATTTTGTTCTATCCAAAGTTTTATATATTGCCACTTGACTTTGGATAACTAGAACATTATGCAGGACGGAGAATAGATAAATGAATATAGGGACAGCATTTCAGAGTAAAGTTATACATAAGAAGAAATATATTTGTAAAATATCGTATGCCTATTCCAAGAAGAATATCTGACAGTTGTTTCCTTTAATTGTTGGGTTTGGGCATCTGATTTTGCCAACTAAAAAGGGACTCTCCATTTTGAATTTTCCTTAGAGTTTGTTATTTCACTTTTTACTTATCAATTCTTAGCAATGCGACACATTTCTGGAAAGTATGACGACATGATGTAGATCGTAAGTACTTATTGATTCAACTTGAGTTTTCTGTGTAATGTTTGGTTGACACTTATTTGTCTTTTTGTCTTTTTCCTTTTGGTCATAGTCTGGTTTTTAATATAGGTTTTTGTATTGCTCCTTGTTAACCTCTCTCTATAGATGTGTTCATCTTAGCCGAAAGGTATCCAATAAAAAAACCAAACAGAGCCTTCAAATTAAAACTGAAGACTTGTAATCAAGAGTATTATCAAACGACCCGGGGTTAATTAGTTTAAATGTACAATTTGAATTATTGTTTGTGATATTTGAGAAGTTTGTTATATGTGATTTTTGTATAATTTTTTATACCTCGTCTGCCTTTTGTAAGGCTTCATCAGTTTTTGTCGGTCCATTAGAATTGTGTTTGTCATACAATGCGGATGTAATTGAGTGTACCCTTGTATATTGTACAAAGTTAAAGACAAGCGAGGGATGGTAGTTGTATTTCACCAGAGCTATTTGGAAATCTTCAGATCCTATAGGCAACCTCTTGACAATGTACGTCATAATTTCGCTAGTTCTATTTAGATGAAGGATAATGATTAAATGACGGAAACTTCGTAACACAATGGATCTATATACAAAGTATGAATCATCCAGTTCCTCTGCCCTCTGAAATATAAACATCATGTAGACCTTGCAAGGATACAATATATTAGTAACCAAAAATAGTTATCCTAGAACTCGTGATAATTGAGACATTCACATGACGAAAAAAGCTATACAGTTTTTAAGCAGTCACTTAATATTGAATATAAGGTCAAGGATAATGATTATATGACGGAAACTTCGTAACACAATGAATCTGTATACAAAGTATGAATCCTCCAGTTCCTCTGTCCTCTGAAATAATATAAGCTATACAAATAGTTTACGGTGTTGCCGCCACCACCATCAGATTGTATTCTGTATGCCTCGCATTCTGCTACTTGCGTCGAATGCGATTTAAAAAAGAACAACTGAAATTAGCTCTCTTACCTAAACCTAGTCGATGTGCTTTCAACTTAACAGTAGACAATGAAACGTAATAGCTACTACTAGCTTCGGTAATTTTTCTATGGTGTTTCGCTCTTATTAAAATTCTGATCTTTATTAACTCGCGTGCTCTTATATATAAGCTCAAATGAGGATAACGAAATCAGAGATCTATATTTTAATCAGATTGATGTTGTTTACAAGTGTTTGTAAAATACATCGATGCTGTACAAAACTTTCTTTTTGTAGATAATCTTTAACTTCATGTCAATGTAGGCCAATGTATGTTCGATAAGTCATGTACATTACACATGATATATATGTGTAAGATGGAGTGATTAGCCTGCTGTTTCTAATTCTCATTTTGTTTTCATAACTTGTAACATAAACCCTCCCCCTTTTTCACCGTTTGCAGTTTGTTTTTTAATTTCTGTAAAGCAAATATATACTCAGACCTGCTAATTCAATCAATTCTGCATTAATATTCATCAGTTTTGGAACTAAGTACTATTTGATGTGCTTCCACGTTCACCAAAAGAAAATTGGATATTTACCCAGAGAATCATGACGAACACCTTCTATCAAAAGACGGAAAAAATACATCATTTTGGGAGGGCAACTTATAAATGTTAATATTTAAAAAAAACATCTCTAAAGATCACTTGTATTCCGATTTTGGAACTTTTAAAAGGTCAAGGTCACTGTTATTTAACAGCTGAATGAAAATTGTAAATGTGCACCCTATAAGTACAAATGTCAATCTCGAACCATATTTGGCAATACAATTATCAAATTAGTCCTAAATATAGAAACTTTAGTTATAATCCTTTGAATTATTTGAATTTATATTGCTATAAACGCAAATATGTAGGGGTGGCCAGCTGTCTAAACGTGACTCTACGTTTTCCTTGAAATTTTAGATTTGACCTTTGACCCAAATTTAAGAAAATCTTGACCACTGTAGACAACGACGACATCAATATTTCGACGAGGCTTGTTCTCTTCTTTCCAATAATATAAAATATAGCCGTGTGTTATTCCGTTAACCCAAATCGATCAAATTTGTTGACTGGGCACCCTACTATTGAACATACATATAAATAAGGCCTGTATCGCTGAACTGATGTTTTTGTTTCAAAATTCTTAATTTGAAATCGTTGTATTGTTGTGTGTGGAACACCTGAGAAATTTTCCAGAACGTTCAATTTATATAATCCGGAAATTCAGCTACGCAAAATTTGATAGAGTTCACTATTTTATATTTTCTCCCAAAATTAGGTCATCGTATCATCAGCTGGGCATTTTATCGTTTCTTTTGGATATTTTGCATCAAAGAAAAGGTAAGAATTAGTAAATATGTAAACGCGTCAAGCCGTTAGTGAAATTGGGTCTCAGTGGAACAATGGAATAAACTGTCTGGCTTTCAGATTTAACTGTGTCAGTGACTTGAATGCTTTTTCATATGTTTTCAGTCGGATTTAAATAATGAGAACTGGAACCTTGTGGCTACGCGAGGAGAAATTCTCACTATAGACTATAGTAGGACATTTCACAGATGAGGGGTCTGTAGAAGCTAAACTTGGGGAACGGTCATTATTTATCAGTTGAGGGTGTGACACACCGATCAAGAAATGTGAAATCAAAATTATAACGTTATTATAACTACGTAAAGTTCTCTTCCTGTATCTTTGACATTTAGTCTTGCGTTATACATTCTCTCAAAGTTAAAGACAAGGAATTCAACAACAATGTACGGAAGCGTATTAGCGCCACACGTCTTTTTTTTTTATATTTCTTCCTATGTTTGCGTTATAACGCAAACCTTTGCGTTATAACGCAAACATTTGTGTTATAACGCAAACCTTTTGCGTTTTAACGCAAACCTTTTGCGAAATAACGCAAACCTTTGCGAAATAACGCAAACCTTTGCGAAATAACGCAAACCTTTTGCGTTATAACGCAAACATTTGCGAAATAACGCAAACCTTTGCAATATAACGCAAACATTTGCGAAATAACGCAAACCTTTTGCGTTATAACGCAAACATATGCGAAATAACGCAAACCTTTGCGAAATAACGCAAACCTTTGCGAAATAACGCAAACCTTTTGCGTTATAACGCAAACCTTTGCGATATAACGCAAACATTTTGATTTCAATTATTCATTAAGTTTTGTATATATGTCTGTCTGTCATTATTTTCGGTTGTGATTTACTAGTAGATAGGAAAAGAACCATAAATACAATGCCAACTCATTATAATAAATTTGCATAGGAATAATGGAATACTTGAAGTGCAATTATACATAAATTAAGAATGATTTGTGCATCAGAAAAGTATATAATTTAACAAGAAAATAGATATGGTATAGGCATATTTTAATTGAAAGAGCAAAACTAATGTCATACATTTGTGAAACTTTCAAGTCAAATAGACAAAATGATCTTTCTGCTTAAAATGAATTATTAATAAAGAAACATTTTTTTTTTAATTTTGATGCAAGATTTGTTTCAAATCTCAGAATATGATCAAGATTCTTTGATAGAAATTCATGGAATTTTCATTTCAATCTAGTGAAGTAACTTTAAGATACTTGGGTAGCAATTTAAATGTAGAGAACATAATTTTAATAATAAAACATCTTCATTTTATTGCAAAAAGGTAGCTTGTTTGGATCTAACCAACCTTACACAATCCTCAAACGAGAGCTTACTTTGGAAGTATATTTATATTTGGCTATAGCTATATTAGCAGGGTTGATTTTTTATATTCTTCGATACAACTTCAATTTACTCAATTTTCTTTGTAATATATATACATGTATTATCATGTATATAATTTTTGGGGCCCTGTATAGCTTGCTGTACGGTGTGAACCAAGGCTCCGTGTTGAAGACCGTACTTTGACCTATATCAAATGGTTTGATTTTAGAAATTGTGACTTGGATGGAGAGTTGTCTCATTGCCATTCATACCACATCTTCTTATATCTATTATCCTACTCATTATTAGTCAATGATATGTTCTAAATATTCAAGCATTTTTCTTTGTTATGAGTACAAAGGAGGATACATTTTAATGTAGGCAGCCTCCTCCATTTATAACTGCTGCTTCCTTTGAATCTTAAATAAGAAATAAGATAAAAAAAAATGTTTGCGAGATTTTGCAAATGTTTGCGTTATAACGCAAAGGTTTGCGTTATAACGCAAAGGTTTGCGTTATTTCGCAAAGGTTTGCGTTATTACGCAAAGGTTTGCGTTATTACGCAAAGGTTTGCGTTATATCGCAAAGGTTTGCGTTATAACGCAAAGGTTTGCGTTATTTCGCAAAGGTTTGCGTTATAACGCAAAGGTTTGCGTTATAACGCAAACATAGGAAGGAATATTAAAAAAAAAAGTTGTGTGGCGCTAATACGCTTCCGTAACAATGTTCCAGAATACATGAAGGTTTTTTTACAATAATTAGTATCATATTGTTGAACAAATATTTCATTTTGGGAAGTTGCGTAGTTATTTTACAATTGAGCAACTTGAATATAGTTCAGATAAATATTCATGTATGGCATACATCATTTGACAATCACGTATTAATTGTAATCTTGTTAATTTCGTAAAAAAAGTATGGGTTTTTGTCTCAGTCATAACTACATTTACTAAAATATTATATAGGTCAGTACATTAATTTTCGTCTTTAATTTATTATATAATGCTTTATATAGAATCGTAAATATCACTGAATTAAGTATTTCCAATTCATTTCTGTGGTAGCTACATGATGAACATCTCTGAAACTTTCGTCTCTCTGAATATCGAGTTGTCTCATAGCATCAGTTATATACTGGTTTTCAGAATCCATGCAATGTATGTTTATTTCCATTGGCTCATTAACAAATCGTAGGTCCACATGTCGGAAATGCTGTAGTAAATGTTGTACAAATGCATTATTTAAAGTTCCGTACACATCAAGTACAAATATATGTCCTTTACTACAACGGAAGCTTGTCCCTGCTGTTACTAATAGGGATCCTTCAGTAACTGATCCCAGAACTTTCGTCCCCTGATAATATATCAGTGGTATGTTGGAATCTTTTAATTTATACGGTACATAGAAACATAGCATTCTACCTTCCGGGAAAAGTTCGCTACACATTTTCTCTGATTTGAAGACTTCCTTAAGATGGACAGGAAATATTGTGTTGTTGTTGTTGTTTGGTCTAGTTGTGTTGTTTTTTAGAACCTCTCTGGGAGACTTCAAATTATACGCTGTTACATCCTAAAATTTATAAAAGTATAAAAGTTTAGTTACATATCACAAGAAAATTGTTTATTCAGACCCAGATCATGATACATATCCCTTCAACTTCACGTCTCATAACACCCGTTTCTACAAACAGATCGTACTATCACCACAGCCCCCCCCCCCCCTTTTAACATTTTTATTGGGGTCATTATTTCTCTTCATTTTTTGCCTCGATTTCTTTTCAAATTCCATTTGTTAAAATAAGTTACTTTTCATAATAACTATGATTTCTTTTTCTCTATTTACTTATATTAACATACTTAGGTGATGTGTGTAATTTTATGAAGATTATTTAAAAAAAAAAATGAAAAAACTGTATTACACCAATGATGTTTAGTGGTGTTAATATATTCAACTGAATGGGAAATAAGCGAACGACTTTGTAAATGAAATCAATTCCTGGTACAATGTAACACTTCTAAGTACAATTAGATAAACAAATAGGATTTCTGATGTTATAAACGACAGAAATGTCTGCGCCTAAATTGCTTCTATCTCAACGTTTTTAATTTGTCCTTTTATGTCCGAGATTACATTAATATCATAAAATGTCCATCTTCGTGCAAATCAAGAAATCAAGCAACTCCAAATTAAAATTTGGAAGAACAATTTATGTCCTGATATGAACACTTTGCCCGCTTTTTCGATCCAAAACTGGAAATAAATGTATACCCGGTAAATATCAATTGCACACCTTAAGATAAGGAAAAGTCCATTCTTATAATAAATTAAACCATGAACTCAAATTAAAAGTTAACAAGTAAACGAAACAATATTTCAAGCGTTAATGTTTTATTATAAATGTAGATCATTAACGCTTTATCATATAACCTACAGTGAATCTGAATGAATTTCTCAAGTCTATAAACTATGGTTGAGTTGAGAGCAACAAAACCAGGATGCAAGAGGATTTGCTCCAAAGACAAAGGTACGGGTGTAGTACATTTAGGTATAAGGTTGAAAGGAAAGGGGATTACCCTTTAATTTTTGGGGAAGATTATTTTGAAAATGAATATCATATCCACTGAATAAAATAAGCATGTGTATATAGCAACAGATGAAAATGAATAGTCGATTTGCAAAACAATCCTTCTGGCCCCCAAAATATCAAATGGTCATCTTAGCCAAATAATTATGATGTCTTGACCATGTTAAAAGGCTAACGTCACAGTACCCAAATTGCACCTATTCAACAAAAATAGCTGCGGAAATCTTACAAGTTTTCTTTGAGACTAAACAATTTGTGTTTTTATGATTTGACATTATACACGTCTTTCAACATAGGTAAATATATTTAGATATACACAAAACGTTCACAGTAAATATCAACAGATGAAGCATTCACTGGAAAAAGTAAATCTACGGAAACGTTCTCAAAACGTCATCTTTAAAAAATGAGCAAATTAAATATGTTACAAGCATCCATTCCTTAAAAAATGAATAGTAAGCATGGACTAATGTCACATTGTTCTAAATATTTGAAGAAATGAAACAAAACATCTGTTTTTCATTTTTTAAGGATGTGAATTTAAGCATGGATGCAATTTGGGTACTCCTCATTATGGCATCCTGGATCGTTTGGAGGTCGGTTCAAACCCATTTTTCTATGATTCAATATGGATCCAAAATTAAACTAGTGTAACTATATAGTAAATAAGGACACATCTACAAAAAAAACACAGAATGGAAACTTTTGTCTGGATCATAAAAAAACGTAGGTGAAAAAACTGTCAAAATAGGTGCAATTTGGGTACCCTCACGTTATATATTTTAAATTTTCCTGTGACGCCTTCCTTTGGACTAATAATTATCTGATGAATTACTCTAGGCATAGTTTTAGTTTCTATAGAGAACTGACATGTAGTTTGACATGAGACTTTGACTCAATACTGGGAGAGTTAAATAGATTAGCTTCTGCATCTGACATGTCTGATACATATACATTACATCCATTTTCTTGGAATGTCTTTTTTCCGAAAAAAAGAATAAATTTATTGAAAGTAAAATACATAAAACTCCGGATAACATTATCAATACCACGTTCTCTATCTTCATGTATCTAGATTTTTTTGGCTTTTTTGTGCATGCAAGTGCGTCCACACCAGCCTCGTGTATATACATGTATATATTTATTAAAACTGCATAGACCTTATGCCTAGATGCAGTCCACTCTTCCACAACAGCCTCGTGTATATATACTCTACCGTTGTCAAATTTGAAATATTTACACATTTAGATCGTTCAGTGCTGTTTATTTAGATTATTATTGACGCAATCGTTCTTGTAGCATCATAACTATCGTCACCGTTAAAGCTTTAGAATTGTGCTAGTTCATATCGCACATAATTATTTCTATTTAAAGCATATATTTGAACTCTCTGTTGTAAGTAGTCATATAACCTATGTCGTGTTTAACACATATTTAGAATTGTGCAAGCGTCTTACCTGATGTTCGGTTTGACTTTTTTATTGTATAAATTTCAAGATTGTTATGGTTTAATCTAAGTAGACTGATATATGATTCATTCAACATCACAATCATATTTACTGATGAAGGATATCTGTTATCCGAAATATTTATAAATAATTACATTTATAGTTCCTTTTTTTGTTATTGGTGTTTTTGTGTACACTTTTTAGGCGTTTATATATATATTTATCCACAGGAAAACTTTTTCACTGCTATGAATATTGATGTAGGCGCGAAACAATTGTATACAGCCATACAACAGACAGTGTATGATATATATTAATAAAAAAGTTACTACTTTTAAGCACATGTTTACACTGATGCAAATACATGTACTAATACAAATGTATTGATTCAGTTTTGATGGTAAAAGACACTGAAAACGTTTTTTAGTTTTCAATGTTTTTTTTCACCATGTTCACCTGTTTACTATGATAAAGTGGAAGTTTGTTCTTATTTCAAGAGAGAGGCACTCAGGATGTATTTATTTGTGCATGTAGTGACATCTACTTGCTTTTTATTAACTATTTTTACCAGAAATTTGTATGAGTTTTATATACATGTACAGAGACATTATATTTACATATAATATAATTAATGGATATGTCTATTTTCAGGACCTCTGATCCATGCAGTTAGGCATGTTTGTTAGTGGTGTTCAAGAAGTATATCACTGGATTGAGCTCTCTGTCTAAGTGTATTATTAAAGTGCTTTGCATTAAGCTCAGCCCATTGTTATGCGAAATTGCCAATGCATTCTTTGTGAAATTGTCAGAGATTCATAAACAGACAACCATATCAACATATAAACAACTAAGGTAAGATCGTAGAAATTGTCAGCACAAGGAATTATTGAAGCAGCATCCACAGAACATAAGTAGTTAAAGGGAGATTAAAGCATTTTATTTACATTTGAACATGTTAAAACAAACATTTTTGCGTCCAGATAACAAAAAAAAAAGCACATTGAAATATACCAAACATTGCTACCTGGAATATGATGCTGGGTGGTTTTGTCACCTTTTCAACCATTTGTACTGTCTACTGAAGAGCCATGAGTGCAACTGGTCATTCATTCATTCATACATATGGATGAAACTCATAAGACTAAAGTCAGTTTCTAAAATTATCTGTCATTGTTCAACTTTTATCATTCATTCATTATTTTTTAATTTGTGTTAATATTAATTGCCAGATTACAGCACTATTTGTTTTTATACCATGGCCACAACAAAACTGCATCCTACAGGTTTCATTTATATCTTTATCCACATAACAAAAACCTCGAAACAAGAATAATTCTGCAAAACCTTTTTCACATTTCTTTTAGTCTACACTATAGCTATTTCTCATAATTTATTTATTGAAATTAATAAGTATAAACAAATAAATTGGAGATACCATGTTATCAAAATTATTTCATACTGGTAAATTTGTCTTTTATCATGTTTATATACATGATATAACTTCAACCAGGCCATGGAGAATCTAAGACAAAGACAATTTCAAAGAAAGAATAAAAATACATGTGTAATACAACAGAAGTGTACTTGCTTGCTCATCAAGCTCCATGTGCATGCCAGGTATTATCATAACTATTAACTATTCGACATCTTCCAAGAAACAATATCGAACATGTAAACAAAATCTTTCACTGATGATACTTGGATGATCCTTAACTACATGTAAGTGTTTCAAGTAAGAAATGCCCACCACAACCGTTAGACTGGCACAACGGACATAATTAGAACCATACGAGAAGAACATACAACACAGGTTCTTATAAATCATCTTGCATATTAAAATCACATAATTAGAACCATACGAGAAGAACATACATACAGGTTCTTATAAATCATCTTGCATATTAAAATCACATAATTAGAACCATACGAGAAGAACATACATACAGGTTCTTATAAATCATCTTGCATATTAAAATCACATAATGCAGAAATGCAGCTTATGTGTTCCTCTTCTAATTTTTATCATTGTTTATACAAAAGCAAAGAAGTGGAACATATTTTAACAGAATCATTTGGTAATCCATATTATGTGTACAAAAAGTGTCTCCTCGATGATAATCTTTAACATAAAACCCAAATATTGAAAAAAAAACCGACACTACAAATTTGTAGTGTTTGGTACTGGTCTGATATTGAAGATGGCTGTCACTGTGGAACACAGTTTAACATAGAACACTATGAAAAAAAAACCTGTAGAAAACTTTTTTGTTAGAAAACACTGTCGAAAGTATAAACAATATCCACACTGATCTGTGTCCATACTTGTTTTATACGAAAATAAGTCCAGTACCCAATTCAGCTATTTGATATATTTCGTTCCATTGATGTTTCCATTATAGAGGTATGGCCAATTTCCCGTGATTTTTTTTTTTTCATTTGATTAGACAGGTAAATTGTGTTTTTAAATAGCCCGATAGATGCTAATCATAGTACATAAAATACGTCACATCATCTATTTTCATATCTTGAAAGGTATTCCTACAATTAACAAGGCCAAGACTATTGTTTTTATTTCATTTCTCAATACCAAGGATTTGTATAGTAAGACTACTATACAAATCCTTGTTAAAACCAATATTGAATTCGTTTGTTAACACCCCTGAGGAGCATGAAAATAGATATAACTGATAGATATTCAAAATTAGTTGTTTACTAAAAAAAGAAACATTATGCCTAAGTTCGCGTGTTAATGTTAGTAGGTGATTTGTATCGTACATGTATTTTATAGCTTTGTTTTATAACTTAAAACTAACAAAATAATACGAAAAACGGGGGTAAAATATAAATACAGAACACATCCAATAATCTAATTATCGGATATAAATCACCTAATCTGATTCGAGATCGGTCTATAATATCGGACGCATTTAACTGGGATGTTGTTTTCCTCAATGAGGATGTATTTATCTCTGTCCCATTCGTTGTTTCGAAATTTTTTTGCCATGGCCTTTTTTTGTTATGAGTGTTTTACACACACACTTTTGGGCTACATTGCATCATTATCAATTCTCGCGTGTTATTGTTCTTTGTACAAACATCTACTTCAGCTTGACGGCAATTGTTCCTTGCATATATATACTAAATGTAGCAGGAATAGGAAGTAATTCTAGAGTATGGATAGTAATTATAGGAACACACAATAAAAGCACACACAATAAGCAACACATTAGTTTTTTCCTTTAATGAAATGATAGATAGTCAAATTGATTCATAAAGACTCTATAAATTAAACCAACATCCGAAAAAAATATGATAGAAACATGACAATTTAATATTTCAACACAAAAAATGCAAAACATCTGCGTGAGATTTGAACTCATTCTTTAAAATAATCCGTCCTTAACCGTTCTACGCGGTACCGATGGAGCCACGACGACTCGGGAATTATACGTTACTATTAGGCACTTATAAAGGTACAATACAGTGATGTTCAACTTTTTTATTAAAAAAGTTGTATTTTAGGTATTAAGGACACACTTAACCAATTTCATTTTTGAGGAAAAAAGTTGTATAAATTACAACAACCATAAAAAACATAACTTTGTTTTGGTTTGAAATGTCCTTCTCGGGGATTCCCTGTTATTGACACCTAAAACACGGTAAATTCCGCATACCCTTATAACCTTACAGAACTGAAATGTTTGCAGCAGATCTGCTGCAAATTTGCTGCAGGTCTGCTGCAAACAAAAAGCTTGCAGGAACCCTTTGAATAATGTTTGCAGATGTTTGCAGCTAGCTGCAAACCTCCTGCAAACATTGCAGCTTTTTGCTGCAAGCTTGCGGTAAGTTTGCAGAAACAAATATGTTTGCAGTAAGATTGCAAGAAAAACTACAATATAAGGGATGTTCGCAGCTAGATTGCAGAAATATTTGACAATTCTAAATGTTTGCAAGAGCATTGCAAGAACTACATAAAATGACTGAGCATGCCTATTGGTAACTTCCTGGAAGATAAAGATTTGAAATTTGACAATGTTGATGGTGTTTCATTTCATGATATATTAGTGTTCAGGAGGCATTTTTATTTGGAAATTAAAAGTTTAGTTTTCAAAGACAATATTTGTAAGTACAAATTATTCATAGAAGTGTAAACTTATGAAATTCGTCAATTTTTATGCTGCAAGCTTTTTGTTTGCAGCAGATCTAGACCTGCAGCAGTTCTGTAAGGGATAGGCCTATTTGACTTTCATCTGTTTTTGGGAGTTAAATAAACTATTTTTCAGACATATCATAATATATAAAAATCGAGATATTGAATAAAAAACATTTTTATTTCTGGTTTCAACCGTCAATTTTAATGTTTCAGCACTTTATGAAATTGGCCCTTCCGTGAAAATTTTACAGGGGAAATTGGCATTACCTCTTTCAGACAACCCTGAATGTCTTTAAAAGTCTTATTGCGTGTTCAACATGCATGCAGACGACACTCCGACATTCTTTATTTATTTTTTTACATTTCTTGTTTTTCCTCGGCGTTTTCTGTCGAAATGATATTTCTTATACGGTGTAACAATTGGTGGTCAATTGACCTTTGACCTATGAAATTGAAAATGAATTGGGTTCTAGATTTTCATACGGGTTAAGTATATACCAAGTCAAGTCAATATATGTCGAACTATAACGAGTCTAGAATGTTAACAAGGATATCAAATAAATTGCATGTCCAACTGTGACCTTGACCTTTGATCTTGAAAATTAACAGGATTTTAGGTGTTTATAAGGACTAAGTATGTACAAAGTTTGGTCGAAATCCTGGAACGATGTTGAGTCTAGAGTTTTATCAAGGGTCTTACGGGTGGAAAGAAGGGCGGAAGGACGGAAAGACGGTACCGTTACATTGGATAGTAGTATGAGTTGTAACGTACAACATAAGTACTTACTGTTAAAATGAGTTGGAAATGGCTTGACTCATTATATTGTCAGGAGGCCGAAAAAACCAACTAACATATCGACAAAAAGACACAAAGTATCAATATTAGAGAACTCGCAGTTACTGAAAGCTAGGTCAAAGTAAATAACAACGGCTTCCATATGTATAAATAGACCTTGTATTATTTATTAATGTATTTATGACTTTGAGCTAGCTTTCACTAAATGCGAGTTTTATTATCTAATAAAAAAGTGATTCAACTACAGTACAGGATAATCAATCCGAGATAACGGATTATCAATCCGAGATCACAGATTAGCAATCCGAGATCACAGATTAGCAATCCGAAATCACAGACTGTCAATCTTAGGTCATAGATTGTCAATCCGAGATCACAGATTACAATCCAAGATCACGGATTATCAATCACAGAAAAGCAATCTAATATCACGGATTGTCAATCCAATATCACAGATTACCAATCCGAGATCACGGATTATCAATTCGATATTACGGGTTGATAATTTTTATGTGGATCCCTTTATGGCTTTCGTAGTTATACGACCAAACCTTTTTACCATTTGTTTACAAAACGTTAAAAAAAATAGATTATTCACATGATTAATACAAATTGATCTAAAAATGAATTTATTAAACATTTTCTGGTTCTTGAAAAAATATTTGATCTTCTCGTGTGTACTTTGAAAAAAAATAATTGCTTAAGATTAATCTCAGCGTTATCAAACACACCCAAACAGTTAACAAAAATATTTAGTATTTGTACTTTTTGAGATGGTCCCCAAATCTTATTGTATTCATCTTCCATCCAACACGGGCGCCAGCAGTAGTGACGACTTTTCTAACACGTCTATTATGAAAGAGAAATTAATATTGTTAGAATGTGCAATAGATGGACCCATAGTCGGGGTGACGAATGGTGACAACAATTTCCATGAGAAAAGACAAGTATGCTTAATTGTTAAATAATTATAGTTTCTTACTCTTGGCATCACTGTTTCCATTTTTCTGGCATACAGTCGTTTCATCAAAGTTTGATTGTGTGCGTCAAATGAGAAAGTCCTTTGTCTGCCCAATAAATGATACTTTTGCTGTGTAAATGAATCAAGCGCGTTATATATTCCTGTTCCTTCATATTCCTTAGCCACGCGTGCAGCTTTCTTCAAGACCGTGCGACCATCATCCAAAAGATTTACTAGTTGAAAAGCAACCTTAAATAAACATACATTTTTAAAAGTATAAAACCCAAAAATAACTCTTCGCAAAAAAGCTGTCACTCGTCGGCTACTTCGGCATTCGTAACAACTCGGCCGATTCCGTACCTCCATCTCGAGAGCAGCAGAGTCACCCGAGATTAGCCGATTGGCTGCTTCGCAACAGAATTTTGCATATTCGTTTACAGTGGTTTCTTTTTTTAGAATCAACGCTTCTTTAAAATCTCGCTGAAATGAAGTTATCACATTATAAAAATCAATTGTTTCCTTTGTGTGCTTAAATTCATTAAATTTGAATTGGCAATTTACTTCATTTCCGTATTCAACTGGCATTAGGTATGACTTTTGCAAATTTGTATTTCTGTTTCTGGGGTTTTAACTCCCTCTGTGTCACTGTTCATTGACACATCGTCGAAAATCTCGAATACAACTGGGTGTGTGTGTGTGTTATTGATATTTTACCTTCCGGAGCACATGTATAGTACTGGGAAGTTCATTTGATTATGCTTTTTTCAATAATTATGGACAAATTTCTGATTCATATTCCTTATACTGCAAGTTCATACGACTTTGTATTAATATTCATTAATTAAAAAACCACAAACTTGGCTATATAAATCTTATTGAAAATGAAATTGAATAGTAGGGTAGATAATAAAGAGATTATTTAAGCTTTCGTAAAATAAGGTCTAATGAAGAAGGACTGTAATTTGGAAGTATAAGACACAATGGATAATCGTTAGTACATTAAAAGGATATAATTTTAACGAACTTAAGCTCATCCATTGTATCCCAAACACATATTTGAAAACCTGTCATGTTAATTCATACATGTGTACATAGGAGTGGATAGTTCTTTTTAAGTAACTGAATTCTAAATCTTGCCAAATCAGATAAACTTCACAATAAAATTACTTCAAATTCAACAGAGTATTATCAAATTAAATCTTGATCAACGAAAACGAGAGTCGTCCACTGATGTTTTATACAATAAAATTTTTAATATCTAAACAAGTACTGAATAATACGGCATAAAAGCAAAATGTGCTGTATGTATTCTAGGGACAAGAAAAACAATTCACAATAAATAGTTACATATTAAACATTTATGAAATTTCAGTCTTTTACAAGGATTTTAAAACACTCCGATCTACTTTCTGTTTTGTTAGTTATTATTCAGCCAATAAAATTTCAGCCTACAAATTTTTGAAGGTGTGTATTAATCCGACAAAACGAGAGGATCCCGAAAGGTTTTAAAACAGAAAGCAGAACGGAGCGTTTTCAGAACTTGGACATGAGATCTAATCAGATTGATGCAATTTGAAATATATATCACGAGTTATAATTAAACAACACTTCTAAGTGTTAAGCAGCAGTTGCTGTATCTTACCCAGAGACAAGAAAAACAAAGCACAACATAACCATTCAATGCAATTTAAAACAGTACAATGAGAGCTTGGCCCTAGTTCTGTCAGTTTGTGCCATTAAAATATAGTATTTTACAAGGTTTTGCATTTCGAAAAAAAGTGGATAAGGTACAGTGCAACCAAAGCATGCACGTCAAACCCACAATAAAACAATGTTTTAATTTTTGTGTCTGCCTTTTTTACATTTACGGAACTTACAAATTCGTTGTCAATAGAGGCTGCATACCCTTCAGTTGATGAACTACTAATCAGTTTATGGAAGCGATCTGGTAAGTAATCATATCCCTCATAAACATCCTCTGGTGATCTTATAGACAACACTTTGTAATAATCATCAACTTTAACTCTGTGGAAAGTTATCATGTTAGTGTCGACAGCATCACTTTGCTTTATTTAATCGCAATGTGCAGGGTTCGTTTAATAATGCGAAATGTCCTTTTCATGTTCATGATAACATTAATGTATTTCTCTTTATGTATGCTGTATGTAGATATACTATAGCGATTTACAGAGAACACAGTTTCTTATTCATCAAGATTTCAAGATTCAAAGTTTTATAATCATACTCAATTCCTGAATGGTTGTGATGTAACAAAGATGACATATCCGTTTAAAATTAAATGCCAGAATAGTACAGTTTACGATTAGAATTAAACGGAACTAAGGATTAAGTTGTCGCGTAGGTACAAATGAGATAATTCAATCAGTGAGCTATTGTAATTGAGCTATAATGGAAAGAAAGCGCAAAGCCAATAGGGAGATATCGAAATAGAATTCCAATCTTACATATAACCAATTTGTACATTGAACATCCATTTTTTTTATTCTGTAACATTTGTATTTGTTATGTCATTTGTTTTATGTCTTTGTATCAGTTTTACTTATTTTCATTAATAGTCATTTACAGTGTTGAAGGCCGTACTTTGACCTATATAATTGTATACTTTTTACACATTGTGACTTGGATGGATAGCTGTCTCATTGGCACTCATACCACATTTTCTTGTTTATATTTAATACAGTTAGATGTCATCAGAAATATTAATCAAGAGTTATATATAGATTCCTTTGTTTGACTAGTTAGCCCAAATGATTTGTCATATGGTGCCCTAGTAAATTTTTGAAATGTAACACAAATACGAGTGATATAAAAGAGATGAAAAGCTTGAGATAAGGGGGAGAGCAGTTACAGTGAACATGGTGCAGTGAGTTGACAGCGACGTTATTAAAGTAAGAGAGAAAAACCATATTGTTAAGCCGGCTTGAAGTTTTATATGTTATACAATTCTATATTTGTTACTTTGGAAAAAGTCAATAGATTTTGTTGATACAGAATGGAATGGCTTACGACTTTAAGTCTATTTTCACCGACAAGGATGTGTTCAGACTACACCAGGATTCATTCTATGTATGTGACCAGGATTTTCCTTTATCGCGCTACCGGTTGAATACTATAGGGTAATCCTGTAAAGTGTATGATTGACATCTGTCGTATGTGTACGATTGAATATCACGATCTGAAACTGAGACACCAAACAACACATCACACCACACTTTTTCGTCGCAATTCTATAATTTTTTATATCTATTTTTCTCTTATCTTTATTTATTTTCCCCATTATTCTCTATTCTTTATATTTTAGTACCCCATAATTCTCTATTACTTATTTCTATTTTATCTATTTTCTCTATTCTTTATCATTTTTATTGTCCTTATATATGCATTTTTTGCCCATTATTCTCTATTCTGTAAACTCCATGTAGACCCTCCTACAACAATCGCAGCTCAAGAAGGAGAATCGGTAGATTACAATTGGTTGATTGAGTAACGTTCAGTGTCAAATATTTCATGCATGTGCAGGACGGGAACAAGATAGCAATAATTACAATACGTAGGTTCTGTATTTCAGTGGTCAACTGGTATGATGGATGATAATTCTGACAGCAACTGGGAAATGAGTTGAATTGGATAAGACATTTTTTTCTTATTGAATTATCGGAAGACTAGCCGAGACATTACATCGAAATAACTGTGTCACAATGGATGAAAGAGAAGACCTCAAAGCTTGGCAAAACTGCTAACAAAAGGTTGCGGGAAAAACAAACACTCGACCCCCCGAAATGACCGGAGCGGCACTCGAAGGTATCTTAAGCGGATTATCCTTCACTTTGGGTCCTATTGATTTTTCTGATTCCTTAGCCCAACCACCAGCAACGTACCAAAGACCTTTTATGAATGTACTGGTTGTCAACATAGCGCAGAACTGTTTTCTCAAATTTTAAATACAAAACAACGAGTTGGAAAAGTATAGACCGTATTGCTCTTATTACGTATAAATTACATTCCGGGGATTCAAAATGGTGGATAATTTATAAGACTTTTGATCAGAAGTCTTAAATATTGCTGTGCCGTTTTTCTATGTATTCAAACTTTAAGATAGCTCATATAATATATAAGATATCTTCTGTAATATACAAGATATCTAATTTAATATATAAGATAACTTATATAATCTAGTTTTTATAAAATATTTGTATATGTGATATCTTATATCCTTTATAAGATATCTTATAAACTTTATAAGATATCTCATATACTTTATAAGGTATCTTCTAAAGTTTATGAGATATCTTATAAAGTATACTAGAACACACCCGCGAAATTGCGGGCATTTAGAGCGTGGTTGAAAGTATGTAAACTTTTGTAGGATGAATTTTTGTAAAAGATTTTATGACTGGAGAATTTCAGGAAAAAGTATCAAAAGTCATAGGTACTTAGTGACAGGCCAATTTTTTTTTAGCCCTCCCCCTTTTTTTCCAAAGACCTTTATTTTTATGTTTACTGTTTATTTTCAATTATTTACGGGTGTATTTTTTGTACTATGACCATACATATACCTATAAACGAAGTGTATTTGCTATTTACTATCAATTCCAAGTTTACTATCCACGGCGGACTGTCACTGATATATTTATATATATACTATATAAAGAGTCTTTTTATTATATATATATATATATATATATATATATATATACAAGTCTAAATTGAAAACAACGTTCAAACCTATGATTGCGTTGGATAAAACCGCAATTTTTATACGTGTGCATGCAAAACAAATTTCTTGGTAGAGGGGTCTAAATACAGCACAAACAACATTTTCCAAAAGACCAAATGAGTCAAAAAATATATTTTAACAAAACGCATTTGACTAGCAGGTCGAACAACTGATGTTCTTAAACCCTGCTGACTGCAATTGGCGATTGCCAAATAAACGGATCACAAGATGCAACAAAATAGATCTTTTCATTAATTTATTACCAAACAGAAAACAATAAACTTGCGGAAAAGATGGTATACCGCAAACACGAGGTGCAAAAAGTTGTACACCATATCCGGATTTCAACAATTAATGTCTCTTCAGTGATGTTAGGAATCGAAACGGTATTTGGAAGCCCATATAATTTACCTCAATTTAGGATAGACTCTTGAATTTTGAAAGAGTCAAAATAGGATGAACGGATCATATAAACCCGAAGGCAAATATAATACAAGCCCAAACGAAAAAATATAAACAAGTCTAAATTGAAAACAACGTTCAAACCTATGATTGCGTTGGATAAAAACCGCAATTTTTATACGTGTGCATGCAAAACAAATTTCTTGGTAGAGGGGTCTAAATACAGCACAAACAACATTTTCCAAAAGACCAAATGAGTGAAAAAGCATATTTTAACAAAACGCATTTGACTAGCAGGTCGAACAACTGATGTTCTTAAACCCTGCTGACTGCCATTGGCGATTGCCAAATAAACGGATCACACGATGTAACAAAATAGATCTTTTCATTAATTTATTACCAAACAGAAAACAATAAACTTGCGGAAAAGATGGTATACCGCAAACACGAGGTGCAAAAATTTGTACACCATATCAGGATTTCGACAATTAATGTCTCTTCAGTGATGTTAGGAATCGAAACGGTATTTGGAAGGCCATATAATTTACCTCAATTTAGGATAGACTCTTGAATTTTGAAAGAGTCAAAATAGGATGAACGGATCATATAAACCCGAAGGCAAATATAATACAAGCCCAAACGAAAAAATATAAACAAGTCTAAATTGAAAACAACGTTCAAACCTATGATTGCGTTGGATAAAAAACGCAATTTTTATACGTGTGCATGCAAAACAAATTTCTTGGTAGAGGGGTCTAAATACAGCACAAACAACATTTTCCAAAAGACCAAATGAGTGAAAAAGCATATTTTAACAAAACGCATTTGACTAGCAGGTCGAACAACTGATGTTCTTAAACCCTGCTGACTGCCATTGGCGATTGCCAAATAAACGGATCACAAGATGCAACAAAATAAATTTTTTCATTAATTTATTACCAAACAGAAAACAATAAACTTGCGGAAAAGATGGTATACCGCAAACACGAGGTGCAAAAATTTGTACACCATATCCGGATTTCGACAATTAATGTCTCTTCAGTGATATATATATATATCAGTGACCGCCGTGGATAGTAAACTTGGAATTGATAGTCTCTGTATAATATATCAGTGACCGCCGTGGATAGTAAACTTGGAATTGATAGTCTCTTCATAATATATCAGTGACCGCCGTGGATAGTAAACTTGGTATTGATTGCAAATAGCAAATACACTTTATTGTATGTATATGTATGTTCATAGTTAACAGAAAAAACGCGAAAATAATTGTCCTGTCCCCAAGGACCCCAAGTACTTGTGAAAATCTAACCCGAATAATTCAGTCGTTATATTATTCCGCTGATCTACGATTACCTCGCAAGTAAGAAAGATCGATTACGGGGAGGGACTGAATTATTCGGGTAAGTGAAAATTATATGTAATTTTTAAAACTACGGAAACCTTGTCTATGACTTAAAAGTCCGTCCGATGACGGAAACTATATCCGGACGCATGATGATTAATTTATTGTGGAAGGAAGAGAAGCGACACACAAAATGAGTTCTTCTGATTTAATACCGGACGCCTTTATTTTCGTTTTCCTCCCAAAATAACACAAACTGAATAATTATATGTGAGGATGACAAATGCGACTATGCATGGTACCTATAGGACACAGAGGCATGATGATTGATTTATTGTGGAAGGAAGAGAAGCGACACACAAAATGAGGTCTTCTCATTTAATAGTATAGATATAGATATTTAGATATCTTATAAATATTTTTATGTAAGATATCGTATATACTTTATACGATATTTTATATAGTTTATAAGATATCTGATATACTTTATAAGATATCTCATATAATTTATAAGATATCTTATAAAGAAAATTATATAAAATATCTTATAAACTATA